AAGCTCCCACGATTAGGCTCGGTATAAATAATGATGGTGTAAATATATGTTAATGTTACGCAATAGGCGAAATGTTAGGATTCGTATAGGTGTATACGGTCACGCTCTTGACCCGAAAATCTGAATTAGTTTTCAATAAAACGACACTTTCATCACCTCTTTGTTTTTTCCCTTTGCATGTTGTGAGTTCTCTTGTCAGATTTTCGGCCGTTCAGCGCGTTCCATGGTTCTCCAGATTTACCCTTAAAAGGATCACATAGTTTTCCCAGTACTCAACTCCCAGCCACAGAAAATTTGAAAGTTCTTCATTGAGACATTTCAGCCCATGCAAACAAATGGGCTTAAGTTTTCAGTAATGTTCACATTTTAAATCTATAATAATAATATCACGCAACTCAAAAAGGAATTTAAAACGCATGTAAGGCGTAAACATTTAATTGACTATTTCCATAATTATCAACTGTGACGAGTGAAGTACACGTGATTTTCTTTATTCTGTTTTAAGTGCTCTTGGGACACACTTACCAAGAAAAACCTGCCAAATAATGTTTTGGACCTGATATACCAACCTTTCATTTTCAATTCGTAGAAACGTAATATTACAGTGGTTGCGCAACTCGATCTCGTGACCGCTGATTCACTGTAACCACATATCATCGTGTTAAACACCTATTGAAATCCTATTCAAAAGGTACAGATGTCATTTAAACAGACGCGTAACGCGATCGCATGTATTTAATATGAATCAAGAAATTCGAAATCGCACGCAATTTTTCGGTAAGTTCTAATGAAAAACAGTCAAATGCGACTCCCTTGCTCCTTACATTCATGCAGCTTCTGTTTCCTGAGCACATTTAGCTGATCGGCAGATGTGCTGTTTTCGTGATAGATCCTTTTCGATGATGATATCTGTCATTGATATCCATCGGTGTTGACAGGTCTAAATTAGGTCAACCTTCCTCATCCCTTTTTTCATTCGAGTTAGTTCAGGGTGTAGTCGTTTATGCTACACCTCTCCTTCACCTTCTTGCTTCTTTGGTTTGCATGGTAAGTAAGGTGCAGCAAGAGATTATGTTCAATGATTTCAACTAATTCACAATCAAGAATCGGAGACGGATTCGGAGTTACGTTTTTTGGTATCTCTTAACGCTTTTTAACACTACCCTTGTCATTAGAAGGAATCTGCAACAGTTAAGTTCACAATGGCGGCGAGAACAACACACGAACCTCTTAAAGAGGTAAACCAATACTCCGGATTCGGAGTTACCTTTTTTTTCCAATCTCTTGACGCTTTTTAACACTACCCCTGTCATTAGAAGGATTCGCACAATGGCGGCGAGAATAATACACTGACCACCCAAGAATAAGCTAAGATCCAAGCATGTCGACGCACAATTTTAAGTACATGCAATTTAAACGTCTCTTACTGCTTATGCAAATTAACAGGCTCTAGTTCTCGGTAATATTCCCTTTTGCTCTGCGATAACAACAACACGAACTCAGAGAGGAAATAGAGCTTGGAGTAAGAATACCTTAGAGGTAAACACGGGAAGCAAATCAATTTTATAATAGAATTTTCCATATTCTAAATACTCTATGCATGATAATCAGTTGTTCCAAGTTTGGAAAACACCAGAATGGTACGTTCCTTTTGAAATCGACCACGAGTGATCACTTATGCAAACGCTTTCAGACTTTAAGTATCACTGCTTCGATAACTTTCTTTCCCGAAAAAAATTTATCGGACGAGAATGGTAAAATACTAAAAGATCCCTGGTGTCTTCGAAGCAGACTTGTGGCGGTTCCACCGACAGATATGCTTAAAATTGTCTAAAAACCATCTTTTATTGCCCATTCACGTACTTCTTCCCTAAGTCAAAGACTTGTACAGCTGCAGTTTGCCTAGTTTTACTTCTATTTGCTGTACTTCAGCAATTTCATAGTGACAAATATTTGGCCTTCCTTAACTTGAGCCACGCAGCGGTAACTGAATTTTTACTCGTACGCACGAGAGGATTGTAAGAGATGTGCCCTACTTTCGCAACTTTTACCATGTACATGTGCAAATATCGACAGCAAATCTATGCAATGACGAGATTTTTTATCGTTTAATTTTTAGCTTCAGCAATTTAAAAGCTCTCTATTTATCTATATCTATAGCAAAAGCAATGAAATAGCCTCAAGTTTTCCATGGTATTCTTATTTTTTGCCTTTTAATAACAATATCATGCAACTTAGACAGGAACACTTAAAATTGCCAGCCGACGTAAGGCGTAACCCCAATAGGGAAATTAAGACACCTTGTTCGGTGGTTTAACAAATGTTTCTTGGAGTATTTTGCAAGTTGCGCAATGAGCGAAATGCCCACTCGTATTATGTGTTAA